TTGCGTATTCATAGTTGTTCCTCGAACAGTACTTTTTCGCAAGGAAAGCCTGACGCTTGCCACTGTGACTGAGGAACGTTTAACGAAACCTTTTATAATGATCCAACACTGAAAGTGTCGAATGTATAGTATACCTTAAAGTATAAAATGTAAAAAGAAAGATTCTATGAATTTGGCAATATTTGAGGTAGGCTCGGACCTACCTTGAAATGAAATTCTCAAAATTAGCAATATTTTCCCCTCTATTTTATAATTTTGTAGCGGCAAATCATCGTAATCCCTTACGAGGATCCATTTCCGAAATTATACTCCTAAATTTCACTCGAATTTCGAAAAAATTGTCCATTTCATGATGCTCTCACTGAAGGCCTCCTTAAAACTCCCTCAGTCACGATGGAAACTATGCGAAGACTTCTTAAGCGCTTACATTTGTTTGAAGAATGACTATTAATACGACCCTCAGGGTTATATGGACATTTCTGCTATATCCTGTAGATTTCAGCCCTCTCTGATGACGATCCTCTCCGATTTGAGAGAGTACCTATATTGAGAGAGTATGGCCACTGGTGTTACCACCTCTGATTGGCTCAGCCATCTTAGGCTGAATGGAGCCCTTAGGATCCAAAAATGGCGGACGCCATAAATTAATGTAATGCAAAATGACTCAAAATGTAGTTTTCTTTGCTTATCGTAACGAGAAATTAACTCAAATGCACTCTTACGACTTCTTTACATATTTTTAAGACTAATCGTGTGCAATTTTTGAGAAAAGTTATCTTGAATGTAGTAATGTTGGCAGCAAGTACGGTTGGTGGTAACCAATGACCCCCCCCCTCCCATCCACAAAATCAAAACAAAGCACCGCCATTTTTGGGTCCTAAGCCTCTCCATGGGGCCCAGTGGCCATACTCTCTCAATATAGGTACTCTACGATTTGAGGCCTCAAAAATGGGAACTCGAATTTCCCAGTCATTGACGGCAACGTTGCTCGCGTCATTGCGGCTGTGTTTATAGTTGGTCTGATGATTGCAGTTTACTCCCGATTTATAAACACTTTCCGTTTCTAGGCGCTCGACATAGCGTTCACCCCGGGTTCAGTTCAGATCGACTCGTGTTGGCCGTCTCGTTTCTTCGATGTCTTCGATTGATTCCGCCGCATCCCTCCGAGTTCGCGGTTTGTAAATCCACGCGCCGCCCTCGGGAAACGCGAGTCGTCCCTCCGATCTCGGGTTTGCGATTGAACTTCGTACGCGAGTGACTTTGTGACGCGTTCGAATTGAAAGTTTAAATCGATATATTCTTAGAAGAAAAGCAAATCAGTGTAAATATTATACTTTTACATGGAAACTTGGATGAGAGATCTCAGAAATGAACCGAACAGAGATGATTGCTTGATAGCTAACGTAAAAAAAAATGCGTCCCCCGTAAACGTGACTTGCAAATCCCCGCACATGTTTTATTTATTCATTCCTAAAAAAAAAAAAAAAAAAAAAAAAAAAAAAAAAAAAAAAAACTAATCAACAGTATACTTTGAACTGTTCTGTGGAATTTTTTCTGTCATCCAAGAGTATTCATAAAGAATTTGAAGGCAATCTCTTAATCAGTTTTCTTTAAAAAAAAATCAAACATAATCAGGAATTTTGATATATTGCAATAGGTATATACATTTTCGACTTTAATCATCTTTATTTCACAGAATCCTTCTTGCCAGCCCTTCACTTTTATGTACTCTAAAACGATGGCTGCAATAATTGGAAAATGTATCTCTATTGCAACGTTTCAAAATCTCGGATTATATGTATTTTGAATTTTGAAAGCAAACTATCAAAAAAATTTACTTAAAATTTCTTGTGACTATTTTTTAATAAAATGAAGAAAATTCACAGAAAATTTCAAGTAAAACTATCGGTTATTTCTGTTGGAAAAGGAAAACATTCAACATGAGCGGAGATTTGCAATTACGCATATGCAGACACACATTTCCCGACATGGTGCCCGGTCAACGTGCTACAAGTGGGGGCTGTGAATAGGAGTCAACGGTGCGTTGTTAATGGTGCCTTGAAAATTGCGCAATATTTACAATTTTCAGAAATCGATAATGTTCAAAGGTGCAACAGTAATTAGTTTGTTTGAACTTTACTACAAAATTTGGACTGAATACTGGAATCTTGAAATTTACGACGATGACTGATGACTCCCATTTTCAGCTTGTGAACTTGGTATTTGAAACCAAAAAGCTATTCCCGGAGATCAACACTACTATTCCCCCGATGATGAATTGGACGTATTTATGCTAAAAGGAACTACCTATGTTACACGCAATCCCTTTGCACATAGTTCCTTTTAGCATAAATACGCCCAATTCATCATCGGGGGAATAGTAGTGTTGGTCTCTGGGAGTGTAGTCTGAATGTACATTCTCTGAAAAAGTTTGCTCCAAAATTCCAATTTTTTAGCGTCACTAAGTCAGTTTGAACTTTCTTTCCGTCATAAGAATCTATGCAATTTCGAAACTTCAAACACGTATTTCTAGATAGCAAGAACTGCACTTATGCGCCTTGTCCTCCAAGCGCCCTCAATTAAAGTCGATCCATTCCTGATGACGAGCGAATGAATTTAGCTAGGGGTTTTCAACAATACCTACGCTCTGACACAAAAAGTTTATGAAAAATTGTTGTCCATGAAAAACAAATCCAAAAATTGTCCATTGTTGTCCAAAAATGGTCCATTCGACACAAAACTTTCACAAAAATTTAAGCAGAGGAAGTACGGAAGAAGTCAGAATCACCTTTTCAAATTTTTCAATTAAAACTACTGTGTATGAACTCATGCGTACAATTAGTAACTGATAACTCTTGAAAGTGACCCCGGCTTCACTGAACCCTTAGGTGTTCTAATGAACTTAGTAGCTTGATATCTGCAATCATGAGATGGTTAACTTTTTCATTTTCCCCTTTAATAGATTTTTATATTCAAATTTTGCGATATGAAAATCATAAAGATGATATTCAGAAGCTTAAAATACATTCTAAAGTTGTCATCTTAGAAAATATAAACAAAAATTGGACAGATTAAATCGGAATCAGCTTTACTACATCGGACGTTACGAAATTTTCTCTGATGTTTTGTTTTTTGCAGAGAAAAGAAAGCGACATTGAAACAATTTATTCTTCATTATTTAGGGTGAACTCACAAAAATTTTAAAGGCGTCAAATATTTAGATTCTCTGTTAAAATAAATGAAAGATTAAAGAAAATTAAGCTTCGTGAAATGCAGTTAAATCTGTCAAATTATACATGATGAGAATAATAAATCTACACGATGAGACATGGTGCGCCCGTCGCCCGTAGTAAAAAAAGAAACCCCCAGCCTTTTTTTTATCAGATTTTAAGCTCTTTTATCAGATCTGAATTTTTATTATGAGGGAAGTGCTCTTCCAAGACTGGTACTTGAAATTACAAGTTGAAAGTAAACGCGACAAATTAAAAAAAACTCAAGAGATACATGAGCTTTGATGTTTCTACATATTTTTCTACTTTTTGGGGAGTTTATATGTAAAAAATAGAACATGAACTGAGATTTTTAAAAGTTGCACCGGTAGTACGTGCACTCTGACAGTCCAGCCATCGATAACTTTCTTTTTACGTTGAAAAAAAAGCTCTGCAACACCTGCCCCCAATTAATTCATTACAATATCACAGAAGTTACATCATTTTAACAATTTTTTTTTCAATATATGTGTCATTTCTCCGAAAACTCGGTCGTGGCATAATTTCACGAAAAATGCCAGATTAGAGTCGCAAAGTTGAACGCTCCGATTACGAAAGGGAGTGAGGTATGCGACCACATCAAGCACCGCTATCAGACCTCCTGACCTCAGAGCATCCGAAATTCGAACACCGATTCGGCAAAACCAGGTCATTCCTCAAAGGATTCACAAATGTTTGTTCAATCTCCTATTTTTAACTCGCATTCGTCATCGGGTGGAGTGCAGAAAAACGTGCTCCAGGCGTTAGTATTATGAGATCCATTCAAATTTTGTTTACACATTTTTTTCTGCGTCTGATGCGGTAACTTACGATGATATCCATGCGGAATATTAGCTTAGTAACTGGTGAAATAGTCATTATTAAGCGACAAAGAGCAAAATCTTCATTTTGGAGACACAAAATAATGGAACGAGAAATTTATTAATTACTTACTCAGGAAAGTAAGCAAAAATTAACAATTTTAAAACATGCCCTCAGCTGCTTAAAATAAATTTTGACAATCTGAAAACAAAAGTCGAAACTATTTTCAAAGATCATAAGAGTCCATACAAAATTTGAAATGGGAGAAAGAAAACTGTCTTTGCAGAGACTGTGGCCCAATTATTTTATGCATACTTTTCGGCACTTTGGGTGAAATCTCACAACCTATTTTTCATTTACTTTCCGACACAATTGGAATTTATTTTATTTATAATTAAATAGACGAGCTCATCAAAAAACCTCAAAATTTTAAAAGAAAATCGAATAAAAAAGCAAAACTGACTGGCAGTAACACGCGCTGGAATAAGGGAAAAAATCGTATGGTACACCTCGAAAAATTAGAAACAATGTCAAATTGTAGTTCAAGGTACTCTGAAATCCATTGGTGCATTGGTAGTACATACTGTCAAGAGTGCTGTGGAACGCATGATTTGTCAGAACCTCTATTTTCATTATTTACCCTGTCTCTTAATGTTGCTTTCCAGAGACTTTAAAATAAATACAATCAACCGTTAAAGTTTAGTAAAGGAGTCCACTATTTGATCAGTTCGGTCTCTCGCGTATTTCAACTCGAAGAGACTTGAAGAAACCCCGTCCGTTTCCCGGGAAAACAAAACACGTCATCGTTAACGCGTACCCGCTACTCCCTGTTGTCAACTCTGCCATCTCATCGAAACCTCAAAGTGACCGATCCGCGATAATTTCGATTTTCCGACAAACTGTTGAAAGCCACTACCGCGATGTTCACAGCGCTGACGTCACAAGCGGAAAACAGTCGGAGCTGGGATCGGTGGTGAAACCGGAAGTAGTGCGTGTTGCTGGACCGGAAATGGGTTGGACGCTGCTGTTACTGTTGCTCGGGGTCGCGCTGGTGCCCCTCGTTTCCAGCGTCGAGACGATCCCTTTCTGCGAACCGATTGACATCAATACTGTCCACACTTTGCATGGTAACTGTCATATCAAGGAACCACAAGACATGCAGGCTGTACACTGGAAAAAAAACCACATTGGATCTAGAGTCCAGACTCTTGAAAACATTGACAAGAAAAAATACTCTTGATTCAATCGGATTTTTGCTTGTGTTTGTGATTTTTCCAATGTGTTTTTTTTTTCCAGTGTAAGAAATTAATGCCTGGACTTCATTTTGCAATTAGGAACAACAATATCTGGCTCATCCGGAAAAATACTTGCGTTCATAGCAAAACTAGTGGTACATGAGTCGTTTCTAAACTGAGCGAGAAATCGTAGTTCCGAATTTCGAAATGAAGTCCAGTTCATGTTTTCAAAAAGAATGACAAGGAGAACCCGATAAATGTCAAAAATGTATTAAGATGTAACGATTTAAACTTCAGGAAATCGGTAGGAAATCGACGGTGTAAGTCGACAATCACATAACTCGTTTGCGGTGTCTGAAAATCTCCACCTTTAAGTTATTTTTTTTAAGGGAGAACAAATTGACATCATTCCTTGAAGTTTTTGCAGAATTTTCTTCGCATAGAGAAGAAAAATCACTTCAGTTTTAAAGAATAGCTGTTGAGTAGTTTTCCGTTTAAAAAATAA